AAATATATTAAGGGGGACCACTATTTCGACGCCGACGGAGCCGGCAAGGCCGAGTTAGAAGAAGGAGAAGGCGAGGGAGGAGAAGAGAAGGACTATACATAGGATTTAATATTCTGCTATAGCACGCGCATGGCGGGCGCAATTTATAGCCGGTTAATATTAGAGGCCGCAGACGAGATTCGGTCTATGATGGAGCGGTATAGGGCGGCTAGCGTTAGGTTCCATTATTTCTAGGAGCACGCGTCTACGTTACAGCAATTACGCAGGAAACGGCCCGCGGCGGTAACAGCCGAGGCTATAGACACGTAGTTCAGGCGGTGGAAGTGGGTCAAGACGGTCGACCGGTTATAGATGTTACGCTAGGTAGCCGGCTAGTAGGATGCCGAGTTTAGAGGAGTGCAGGAGCAGGCTATCGAGGCGGTTATTAAAGGCCGCAGCCCCGTGTTAGTAGTAATAGGCACAGGCGGCGGCAAGAGTATAGTTTTTATAGTTCCGGCTATGTGTACCGCCAGTACTAGCGAGCTAGGCACGACAGTTATCGTAGTTCTATTGATATCGTTGCGAGAGAATATAGCGGAAAGGTGTCGCAGAGTAGGTATTTCCGCGGTAGAATAGGATAGCCGGCGGCCACCTAGTAGAGACACGTCTATCGTATTCATTACCCTAGAGGCGGCTATAACCAAGACGTTTAGCGATTATTTAGAGCGGTTAAGGAGCTAGTAGCGGTTAGAGAGAATTATCGTCGACGAGTACTATACTGCGTTAGATAGTAGAGCGGATTTCCGGCCCAAGTTAAGGGAGATAGGCGAGTTAGTAAGGAAAGAGATATAGATAATTATATTAACGGCAACGTTACCCCCGGTAGAGGAACATAAGTTATTTAATATTATAAACGTACGGACGGAAGAGGTTTTACGGTTACGAACGCCGACCAGCCGCAAGAACGTCCGGTACCGGGTACAGCAGGCCGTAGGAGCGAGGAAAGAGAAGGAGTTAATTAAGATAGTCGCGTAAGAGGCGAGGCGGGCGGTACAGCAGTTATATCCCAGCAACAATAGCGGGAAAGTCGTCGTTTACACCAATAGTACCGCCCGGACAGAGAAGTTAGCGGCAGAGTTAGGGTATAAGGCGTACCACGGACAGCGGAAGGACCAGGAACAGAAGGCTAGGGATTTAGCGCAGTAGGCGTACGAGGGCGGCAAGATGATAGTCGCTACAAACGCTATAGGATTAGGCATCGACGTGCCGGATATCCGGGCCGTTATTCACGCAGAGAGGCCAGTAAATTTAAGGGAATATAGGCAAGAAAGCGGCAGGGGAGGCCGGGACGGGAAGCCGAGCGAGGCAATTATCATTAACAGCGGCGACATATGGGCGAGGCCGGGTAAGGCAGACGATAGCGTCCACAAAAGGCGGGCCAGAGCAGCAATAGCCCGGTTTATAGGCGGGCAGCAGTGCCGGCGGGTGGTTTTAGACGAGTATATAGACGGCACCAACGGGCAGCAGGAGCAGGAGAGGAGCAGGTACGACGCCGAAGCGGAGTTAGCATGCGACGTTTACCAGGTAGACGCAGTAGCAGCAGACGCAGCAGCAGACGCAGCAGCAGACGCAGCAGCAGACGCAGCAGCAGACGCAGCAGCAGACGCAGCAGTAGTAACGGCAGCCGACAGCGATCAGGGCCGGGCAGAAGGTAAAAACCAGCGCGCATTGCAGGCGTTCCAGCAGCAAGCAGACGAGAGGCGGGCCGTCCATAAGAGGTTAGTAAGAAGGGTAGCCGACGAGGCAGCAAATATTAAAGAGTTAGAGCAGTTATTAGACCGTTGGTCAGGCCGGTGCGCGTTATACAAGGCTAAGGGCAAGGAGAGGACCCGGTATAATATAAGCGAATGCCCAGAAAGAGAGAGGGCGCAAGAGTTGAGAAATAGGAGCAAGGGAACAAGAGGGAACATAGACATACAGCCGTTTGCAGGTTACAGGTATTGCGGAGTACCGCAGTCGATTTGCCAGCGGTGGCAGCAAAAGACCGAAGAGGTAGGGTAGTAGGAGGAGGTGCCAGGAGTTAGGTGCCAGTACCAGGACGGGATAATAGTCGAAGCCGTCGTGGTTATAATTACAGAAGACGTGCGGGCACGCCATGTAGTCGAAGAGTAGATGGGTGGGCATGGAGTAGACGAGCAAGCCATCAACGCAGCGATAGGGTGGATTGCAGAAGGCAAGACGGTAGAAAGAAGTATGCCGTTAAGTAAGGCATTAGGTTGGTTTAGAAGGCGAATTTTATGGGGTGGCGTAGAGGCAACGATATTGGCAAAAGTATTCCACCAGTTAGCAACGGTTGCAGAGAGGAAGCAGGCAGTTTCACCAGCACATAGAGGCGAAAGTGCTAGTAAAGTTAATGGAAACAGAAAGAACGAAGAAACAGAGGGCAGAGATAGAAGTAAACGCGGAATAAAAGAGACGGAAAGAGAAGAAGGCGAAGGCGAATTACAAGAGATACGGCGCCAGTTAGACCGGTAGCAGAACACATGCCCGATTTACACAGCACAGGGCCAGCCAGCAGGGCATAATATAGACGGATGCCAGGCAGAAGCCGCCACGGAGATACACGGTATAAGGCAAGAGTTGGAACGAAATTTGGGGTTAGTAGCAGGGTCAGGTTGTTTTAAATATAGGATACCGCGAGAGGTTTGTAACCGGTAGATCCAAAACAACTAGAAGGCAAGAAGGTTCCAACAAGTAGCGGCGGATTGTCAGTACAAAGGCGTTGTAGTTGCAGTTATAATAGGGATTGCATATTCAGTAGATAGTATCGGGGATATGTGGGTTGATCGGTTAAGAGTAGTTGGGATCGAAGAGTTGGATATTCGACGGATAGGTATATATTTAAAGGGAAGGCGAGTTATAGAGGGGGCAGAGAGTAATAATTTATGTAAAGAGTTAATATGGATAGGGAGAGAGATGGCGAAAGCCGGTATATAGAAAAGGAGATAGAGAGAATAAGTATAGTAGATAGAGAGGATAAGATGTAATAAGCAGTAATAAGCGTAGTAGATAGAGAGAATAAGATGTAATAAGCGGTAATAAACGTAGTAGTTAGAGAAAATAAGCCGTATAAAAGATAAAGATTTAGGTAGAAATAAATAGAAAAAAGATTATTATAAATAGATATTTAGAAGGTAAAGGTAAAGATTAAGAGTAGTAAAATTAGATATAGATTATTTCGGGTATATAAAATATAGTAAAGGGTTAATAGTAGTTAATAAAAAGTATAGGGTTAGGGTTAAGAAGTTTTAGGTTAAAAAAGTGGATATAAGTTTAAACATTAAGCGAGAATAAAAAGATTAAGAGTAGTAAAGTTTAGTATAGTATATTTCGGGTATAGAGAGTAGAATAGTAATAGAAATAGTAGTTAATATAAAGTATAGGGTTAGGGTGAAGAAGATTGTAAGAGTTGGCCGACGGGCAATCACTAGGTTACTAGGAAACGTAGGTTGGACGCAGTTAGTTCGCACCAGGGTCACACTTGAATTGGTGTACAAACTATTTCCTGCCCTAGCGCCCATTGCTCCTGGGGCAGCTATTTATCCTTGTGCGTGGCCTCCTTCGGTAAAGGGCTTGGCACCCACGTGACCCGCAACAACATCGTATTGCTTGAGGACCAGTCCCTCGTTTCTAAGTTCCTAACCCAGATGATTGATTGATTGATTGATTTCTATAAGCTATGCAGGTCTTCATGGGACCTATGAGCTATCCTTGCGTAACCTACTATAAACATAACACTTCTTAGTCTCACCTAAACGCCTATACATAAAGAAATCCTGCCCTTTTTTAGAGGGCCTGCTAGCTAGAGAACCGGCCTGTAGCGAGTAGAAACTGCACCACTGCCCGGACCATCTTGACGCTTGGTTTCCAACTTTCCCTTGGCCCATCTACTGGTTTCCCAGTCTGCCTATCCTCCGCCCTGCTTCGCCCCCCTAGTAGAAAGGACATATCTCCCCATCGGTTCCCTGCTAACGAGCGGATTTCCGTTCGCAGGTGCGCCTATAGGGGACATGTAAGAATAAGGTGTTGAACTGTCTCCTCCGCCAGTCCACACTGGCACTTTGCAGACTCCGCTCTCTTGATCCAGGAGAGGTAAGCCTGTAGGTGTGTGTGGTTTGTCCTGCACTGAGCGAGGGCGTTGGCCTGTTCCGCCCCGAGGCCTAGATATAACTGCGGCTGGTGCTTGCCTGGAAAGGCGGCATCTAGTCGACGTAGATACCCGCCCCACGGTGTAGGTCTAGCTTCCGCTACTCCCCGCTCTTCCTCGATCTTCTGCCGAAGTAGGCCAAGAACGCTCGCCCTGCACCTCCGCCTCTCCTTGAAGGGAAGCGTCGGGGCTAGGCCCTGCCTCGTGGTCTCTTTCGCTGCACTATCGGCGGCGACGTTTCCTACACTTCCGGTGTGTGCTTGGATCCACGCAAATTTAATGTCCACTCCTTTAGCCCGACAAGACTCTACTCTCCGCCTAATCTTGCCGGCTAGCCACTGACCCGACCCCTGGGGGTCGGCTTTCTCTATACGCCTAAGGGCGACTCTGCTGTCCGAGATTACCTATGCCGTGTGTCTATTAATCCACGGTACTCTCCTATCCTTCTCTACTCTCATTCTTACCTCCACCATCCCTATTCTCCTATCCTCAATATCCCTGATCGCCCACGCGATGGCTTAGAGCTCTGCAGCCCAGATTGGGACGGATTTGCTCCGTCCGATCGTCTCGGCCCGGACGGTGAATGGTTTTCCCCGTAACATCCTTACCGCCGCTGCTCCTGCCAGTCCATTCCGCACGGACCCGTCCGTCTATACGATGTCCCTGTTTTCGTTTACATACCTCCCCGCCTCGGCTTTGTCGAGGAAGGTAATATCTGCTTATCTGGTCCTCCAGGGGGGTTCTTCCCATGGCTGCACCGTCTCCATCTGGGGGGCGCGGGTAGGGGCGATTAGGTCCCCGTACCGCAGTCCTACCTGCTGGAGAGGCGATAAGAACACGTCCCTCTGATTAGCCCATCGGGTAATGCATTCCCTTAGCGGATTAGTGCTAGGCAACGAGTATGCCCCGGCGAGGTGTTTAGAGACTTTAGCCCGAAGGCGGGTCTCTACCGGTGCGAGGCCGGCTTCTGCCTGGGCGACTGATACCGCTACCGTGCGGAAGGCCCCGATAATCGATTGGGCCCCAAGGCGTTGGATTCGTTCCAGCTGCGCGATGAGCCGGCCTGTTCCTAGCCTTCCTGGGCCATACCATACTGAGGCTGCGTAATCTGTAGTCGGGCATACTACTGCTTGGAAGAGCTGCCGCATACCCCGAGGGCGAACCCCTTTAAGTCTCCTCATAGCGAGGCACTTTTTAAGCGTACTGGCTGTAACCGCGGCCACATATGCGTTCATTTTTAGCTTCTCGTCTAGGAGGACCCCTAGGATTTTAACCTCTTTTTCGGCTTTAAGTTCCCTGCCTTTAAATTGGAGGTCCTCAGGCGGGGCGTCTCTTGTCCGGTCCAGACGCGTGAAGTAGATAAGGTGCGTTTTTCCCCCATCGAACGTAGCTCCGCTGCTTTCCGCCCATTGCTCGGCTTGTGGCATAACCTCCTGCTGGAGGCGGTCCACATTATGGCTAATCGACGGACCCACGACCCATGCCGTGTAATCGTCTACAAAGCCAAGGGCTCCGCCTTTTACAGTAATAGGTCGGTCCACCAGCCCGGCGTTAAATAGGATGTACAGAATTAGGGTTAGGGTTAGGGTTAGGGTTAGGGTTAGGGTTAGGGTTAGGGTTAGGGTTAGGGTTAGGGTTAGGGTTAGGGTTAGGGTTAGGGTTAGG